TGCCGTGGTGGTGAAGGGCGCTGGACTCTCACATGGCTGACCATGGTTTGAGTCCCGGACCCGGTGGCTTACTTTCTCACTTTCCCTCTCCCTTTTTGTCTCTTTCTGGTGAGCATATGTGCTCTATAGCAAATTAAAATACTTATATGTCTTGTTTTAGATGCCAGAGGGCATGTGCGCTCACCAGAAAGGGAGAGCGAGAAAGCACCTCCCAATGGGGCATGGCCATGCTGCAGTCCCCTCCCCTTCTCCACACTATTAGGATTTCGGCATGCCGGTGTTTTTTTCAAGCTGCAGCATCCAGAATTTGAACTGTATGGTTAGCTAGGTGGGATCTGGTTTCTTCAATTACCAGGCCACAGGGCTGGCCCCCCAAAATATTACTTTCTTGTTGTTGGTAAGATTTTGCTACAGGGCACATAAGCTTGCTGGAGATACAAAGTGACAGAGAGGAAAAGTGAGAAATCACCCCTAAGAGGGGATGGCCATGCTGCAATCCCTTCTCCTCCATTCTCTCAGGATTTGGGGCATGCACGCACACATGCTTGGTGTGATTTTGGCATGCACACATATGCGCCTAGAGTGTTTTTCAAACCACTGGGTTCAGGACTTAAACTGTGCAGTTGACCATGTAGGATCTAGCACCTTAACCTCCACGCCACCTGCTGACCCAACATCTCACGTGTTAAAAGCACTTTCACAAAGCTATGTGCTGATCTATTGGCTAGGCAGAACCACCAAGGTTGTCCAGTTCAAACTACAGAAGACTGAGAAAACCCTCCTGTGGTCCAGAAGGTAGTCTTGTCCAATTTTATTACGATAACTGCTACCACTCCAGCATTAATTTCACGTAGGGCTTTTCATATCTCTAACACCCACTGACATCTGCCACTTCATTTTGTTTCCCTATATTTTCTAAACAGAATGCTTCAAAGGATTGGATTGTTGTTCTTCAAGGACAATCCCATCCAATCTAAATCAGAAAACAAAGAAACACATAACCGTGGGCCAGTTCGAGAGGCAGCAAGATGGTGTAACGGAATACAGGCTGCTGGGTAGACTGCCTAGGGTCCAGTCCCAAACCTACAGCCTTCTCTGGCTATGTGACCTCGGCCGAGTTACTTAAGCTGTTCATCCCGTCTTCTCATCTGTGAAAGGAGGATCATAATTCTTACCTCTTAGGGCCTGTAAGAAGCATAAATGACATTATATATTAAAAGTGCTTAAAGCAGTGTATGACACACAGCACGTACATGCTCAATAAACATATCAGCTAGTCATTGTTCCTATTTAGCATTCTTTTTTTTTTTTTTTTTTTTTTAGATTTTTGCTATAGTGTGTGCTTGCTGGATAGACAGACACGAAATGAGAAATCACCCTCTCCCGGGGGGGGAAGATGACCATGCTACAGTCCCTTTTCTTCCAGTCTCAGGATTTTGTACACTCACACACGCTCCCAGGGTTTTAAGCCACCGAGTCTGGGACTAGAACCACAGTCAACTCCATGGAAGTCCAGCGATGTAACCATTACTCCACCTGCTGGTCCCTTGGTAGATATTCATTAACTGTGGTTCCTATCAAAAGTACACTATGTTCTTTTTTAAAATAATTATTTTATTTAACTTTATTTAATTATTTATTTATTTTTATTTTGACCAGATGGGGATAGAGAGAGAGAGAGAAAGTGAGAAAGTAAGCTGCCAGGTCTGGGACTTGAACCATGGTTGGCTATGTGGGAGTCCAGTGGCCCTAGCCACCATGCCACCTGTTGGTCCCCAAAATTACAGTATGTTCTTTTTTCTTAGAACTTAAATGTTGTACTACTTTCCAAATTCTAATAAACACAAGACACTTGATATGTTCACTTACTTTAATAACAATATATATACACCATGTTGTCACCAAGGGATGGAAATTCAGATTAGACAAGAGAGTTTCACAAGTGCAATAAAGCATTCTGTAGTATATCAAAGTTTGTATATAATGTCAGACCAACCAGCTTGCTTATAAATCATTAATCACTTTCATTATCAGTAATCTGTTTAGTTTTACAGAGAAAATAAATATACTGCACACGTTTAAAAAGTGTTCTCCATTTAGCTTTGTGTTAATACTTAAAATACATATTCCTAGTCCAACGTGACATTTAAAAATTATTCTAATCTAACAGCGGCAAAAATATAATTCTGCAATTACAAAAGAGCTAAACTGGAATCGTCATTAACTTATTCTCATGTTTACAAGTGTGATTATGAAATAAATAGTACTCTGCGACCCCACTGCAAGCTTTCTAGGTTTGGTTTAAACACACGTGTCAGTTAAAAAAGGCTTTACAGATTATAGTCCATGCACTTTTTCAAAACAGTTCTCCAGGAGCCAACCAGCCCTAAAACCTGAAGTACTCGACCAGTCCGCAAGGCACACAGAAAAATGTTGGATTAACTGGATAAACGAGACTCCTACATCACACCCAAAGCAGGAGGTGTTCTGCAGCGAGCTGGGAGTACGTCCAGGTTAGTCTGGGCTCTTCTTTAGAACTAGTTTCATCATCAGGGTTTAAGAAGCTGGAGATTTTAACACTACAGAGTACATTGGGGTGACAGGTTTCTTTTGTGTTAACCTGACTTTCCTGGTCACTAATCATTTTGGTCACCAGGCAAGTCAAGGCTGTGAGACAGGAAGCCGATATTCAAAATACCTTATCCGAACCCATCGAACGATTTGTTTTTGACACACACGTAACCTCAGTATGAGGTGTCTAACTAAAGCAAGCACATCCGACCAGACTGAGACGCCATCTCCTCTTCTAAGGTTTAGGTTTCGCCCAGTATTCCCGATACAAGGAGTAGCCCATACCTAGAGAAAAAGACTGCTGGTTAGACTTTGAAGTATTTTCTTCAATATTTAGAAAATAACAGTTCATAAAATAACTAAACTAGCATCCTTGCTGGAGTGCGATATTCACCAGAGAAACGAGACCAAAGGAGGTTTATGTTCTTCTCCTCTTGAATAATTTAAGTTTCTAAAATTCTTTTTGCATAGTTTCCCATGTAGCTCAAGGCCAGTATGACTAGCTCACAATATCACCAGGGTGTTTGTTTCAAAGAACAAGCACTATTTAATCTGGTGACTTTAAAAGGATTCACTTTTGCTACATAATATCCGATACAACCAATGAATGATAATGCCAATAAAATCACGTAATACCTATACTTAAAAATTTTAATATCTACACTTTAAACATTTTTCCATCTTCAAAAATTCAATAAACTTGCAATCATATGCTCTCCCAGATAATGGATGTTACTACCAAATCTATTTGCATGTCTACACACTTCAATGAAACTATAAACTCAGTGACAGACAGGGTTATTTTCTCTTTCTTTAAAGCCTTAGTAGAATACACGGGAAACAGCAAAACTATGTCACTACTTAAATTATTTTTAGTAATTCAATTTTTACATGAAAATGAACATAAATTATATTTTACTTTATTTTTTAATTTTTTTTTTGGGGGGGGTGAGAAGTTTTGCTATAGGGCGCATGTGCTTGCCAGAAAGACAGAGAGGGACAGAGAGACAGAAAGCGAGAAATCACCCCCCAGGGGGGATGGCCACGCCACAATCTCTTCTCCATTTTCCTCTCGGGATCTTGGGCACGCATGCACACGCACCTGGAGTGAGTTTAAGCCACCAGGTCTGGGACTTGAGCCGCAGTTGACTACATGAGAGTTCAGCGACATAAGCATAATGCCACCTGCTGGTCCCCATAAATGATATTTTCAAATTGCTTCAAGGTCAGCTGAAAGCACCCACCCAGTTTTGTCGGTAGAGGAATGTATTAATGGAGAATCACAAACGTGAACATTTCCCACCGGAACCTACCAACGGTCATTGCTCCCACCACGAAGCCTTGGGCTGCCACGCGCATGTGGATCAGGTGGACGGACATTTTGGTATTTCCCCGGCTCTTCAGTTTGTAGAGTCCATATGCAACGATTGCTGCAAAACCTGCCATTCCTGTAGAACAAATGTCACGAGTGTGTCAGATGCCTGGATGGAGGGAACTGAATGAGTTTTACCACCGACGAGTGTACACTGTTTGATTCATTTAAGGTTTTGTGCCTTAGGGTGTAGCGCTCGCCAGAGAGAGAGAGACAGAGACAGTGAGGGAAGTGAGAAATCACCCCACAGTGGGGCTGGCTATGCCATAATCCCTTCTCCTCCTTTCTCCTCCCATGATCTTGGGCACGCACGGACAGGCACCCAGAGTGATTTTCTAGCCACCAGGTCCGAGATCTGAACTATGGTCAGCCATGTGGGAGTCCAGCGATGTAACTGCTATGCCATATGCTGGCCCCTGAATTATTGTTTTTATGAAGATACTTTACCAGATCATTAATTATCTGACATACAAATTGAATTTTACATTTTTTCCCTTCAGAACCAAAAGTCTGTGATAGGGGCAAAGAATATCAGATCCAGAAAGTAAAAATTACTTTTTTTTTTTTAATAGCTTTTCTTTTTTTGAAGAGGTTTTTGCTATAGGGTGCATGCGCTCGCCAGAAATAGAGAGACAGACAGAGAGACAGAAAGTGAGAACCCCCCGGGGGGGGGGGGGGGGAAGGGCCACGCCACAATCCCTTCTCCTCCATTCTCCTCTCGGGATCTTGGGCACACACACATGCTCGGTGTGAGTTTAAGCCACCAGGTTCGGGACTCAAACCACGGTTGACTACATGGGATTCCAGCAACACAGCCATCATGCCAACTGCTGGTCCCTTAAATAGCAATTTTTTAAGAATTTTTTTAATTACGGGGTGATTTCTCGCTTTCTGTCGCTCTCTTTCTGGCGAGTGCACGCACCGTATAGCAAAAATCTCTCAAAAAAAAAAAAAAAAAAAGAATTATTTATTTAATTTTATTTTTCATTCATTTATTATAATTTGACCAGGGTAGGGGGGAGTAAGAAAGCAAGCCACCAGGTCCAGGACTTGAACCATGGTCGACCATGTGGAAGTGTTTAGCATTTTAACCATTACGCTACTTGCTGGCCCCAAAAATTACTTTTAAAAATGTGGGTTTATGAGAGTAGTAAATAAATTTATTTAAAAGAATGCCAGGGAATTAAGAATAATCAAGATTGTAAGTATTAGGCTACTGGAAAAGTCATGACACATTTTTGCATAGAAAAACAAGTCATGACTTCCCAACAACCTAGTATTACAGCAAAACAAGTGCAGTAAAGGCATTCTCTTGAGTTAGGGAAGGAGTGGAAAACTTTTAGATTGTTGCCATAGGGCCCATACACTTGCTGGAGAGAGACAGAAAAAGGGAAAGTCAGAATTCACCCCCTAGGGGCTTGGTCACACCACACTCCCTTCTCTCCCATTCCCCCCTTGGGATTTTTTTTGGCATGCATGCACACATGCCTGGCACGATCCTCAAGCCTCCATGTCCGGGGCTTGAACTGTGGTCAGCCATGTGGGAGTCCAGTTCCTTACCTACCATGCCACCTGCTGGTTCAGGGAATGAATTTTTAACTCCTCTCTGTTCTATCTCCCTCCCTGAAGATACTCAGAGATGATTCTATACAGTATTACCAGCGGGAGACAGACCCTGTTTCCTTCGGACATGGGGATTCTGTCCTGGGAAGGCTGTTAGCGACGCAGTGCACAGGGGAAAGCGATGGAGCTGTGTGGAGAGTCTGAGTAAAAGGACGTGACCCAAGACCTCCATACAGAGCCGGGGACAAAACCAGTCAGGTCATCACCTCGGATGGTATACCACTCATCTATTTACATACAAACCTGGGGGTGTAATCCAGTCAACTAAACAAAGTGAATCAAAGTTGGTAGCTTAAGGAATGCTGTGATGGTTACGTTGCTGGACACCCACGTAGTCCGCTGCAGTTCAAGTCCCAGACTCGGCGGCGTCACACTAGGTGCATGTGCGTGCATGCCCAAAAATCCTGACAGGAGAATGGAGAAGAGATTGAGGTGTGGCCATTTCCCCTTGGGGTGTGTGTGTGTGTGTGTGTGTGTGTGTGTGTGTGGTGTGATTTCTTGCTTTCTATCTCTCTGGCAAGCGCATATGCCCTATAGCAAAAATCTCTCTTTAAAAAAAAAGATAGTTTAAGAAATAGAAGACAGGGGATTAGCAGGGAACATAGAGGTTAGGGAGGCTGGGTCCCACATGGCTGACTTTGCAGTTCGAGTCCTGGACCTGGCGGCTTGAGCATTACGCTGGGCATGTGGGCGTACATGTCCCACATCTCTGAGAAGAGATTAGAAGAGAAGGGACTATGACATGGCCATCCCCTCACGAAGTGATTTCACTTTCCCTCCCTCTCTCCATCCCTCTCTCTCTCTGGCATGCACACACACCCTATAGCAAACTAAAAAAAAAGAAAAAAGGGAAAAAGAAATAAAAGATTAGATGTGTAAAATATAATGAGCAATAAAGGTAGTACAACCTATACGGTTCCTTCAGAACAAGAGAGTACAGTATAGAAAAAGCAGTCACCAAAGTCAATAATCTGGAATTAAGGTTATAATGATTACAACAAAATGTGATGTCTTCTCTTGAGTTAGAGAATGAATTTATATTCATTTTAACACTGGAAATTGGTGAAAAAAAACCATTATCAACAATGTAGTGATGAAGATCAACAGTATTAGAATAGCTGCAGAACCTAACCAAATTAGGTGAAAAATAAAGAAGAAACAAGACAGTACAACAAACAGAAAATCTAAAGTAGAGGGACCAGCAGGTGGCGTGATATATATATATATATATATATATATAATTCTTAAAAAAAGAAAAAAACCCTGAAGTAGATAGTAAAAATAGAACTTACTAGAAATACATTTAAAACATAAAGTAGATGGCAGAAATAAGAGAAGTTATTGGGCCAGCAGACGGCATGGTGGTTAAGGTGTTGGGTGGATGGATCCTACATGGCCAGCTTCTTAGTTTGAGTCCCAGACCCTGTTGCCCAAAAAATACAATGGGCGTGTGTGCGTGCGTGCCCAAAATCCTGAGAGAAGGGACTGCAGAGCGGCCATCCTCCTGTGGGGGTGATTTCTCATTCTCCTCTCTGTGTCTCTTTCTGGCAAATGCATGCACCCCATGGCCAAAAAAAAAAAGAGAAAGAAAAAAAGAAAATAACTTACTATAATAAATGTGAATGTAAATTTATCTACTCTCTTAGGTTAAAAAAAACAAAACCCAGGGACCAGCAGTTAGCGTAATGGCTATGTCACTGGACTCCTATGTAGTCGACAGTGGTTCGAGTCCTGGACCTGGTGGCTTAAACTCACGCCAGGTGCATGTGCGTGCGTGCCCAAGATCCCGAGAGGAGAATGGAAGAGAAGGGATTGCAGCGGGGCCATCCCCCCTGGAGGGTGATTTCTCACTTTCTATCTCTTTGTCTGGTGCGAGCACACGACCCTATAGCAAAAACCCCTCCAAAAAAAAGGAAAAAAAAAAAAAAAACCCAGATACATATGCTTTGTAGAGCAGCTACTACTAAAACACATTGAAGATTTTAACAGGGTAGGCGAAGACGAAGCAATTGCAAACAAAAAGAAATCAGGAATGGCAACACGAATTAATGTCAACTGAGAATTCTGTTTCTGTCTCCTGCGTGCACACACACTCTGGCTCTCATATGCAAGAAATAGACAACAAAGACCAAGCAAACCAACCAGTGTATCTAGGGGCTCAGCCTCAGGAACGCGCAGTGGAACTGCTGACACTGGGCAGGCTGCAGCCACGTGGGACACCCAGTATAGACCCCTTGCCCACCCCTTTCAGCTCACACCTGGGTCCCAGCTACCTGGGAGGCTGACACAGGCAGGGGGATGCAGCACAAGAGGCCCTATCTCCCTCCCTCTTCCGGTCCCAGCTACCTGGGAGGCTGACACAGGCAGGGGATGCAGCACAAGAGGCCCCCCTATCTCCATCCCTCTTCCGGTCCCAGCTACCTGGGAGGCTGACACAGGCAGGGGGATGTAGCACAAGAGGCCCTATCTCCCTCCCTCTTACCCCACCATATATACACACTACAGAAACCCCTCCTCAAAAGCAAAAATCTTACACATTTCGGAATATCTGAGACCTAGAGAAATTAAAACTATAAAATTACATTTAATGACACAAAAGATTGGAATGAATATCAACGTACCACATTCTAAGATTTCCATGTTCTCCAAATTAAAAAATTAGTTTAATGCCATCTAAATGTAAATCACATTAAAACATTTTCCCTTGTTTTGGAACTTGACAGGCCAATTTCAAAGTAAACAGGCAAGCTCTTTCGGAGAAGGCAGAACAGTGAAACTGTCCTGGCTTACGAGGTATCTCAACGTAACACTGAGTTTCTGTAGACAAACACCACGGTAACAAAATAGGTAGCTGAGTAAGATCCCCTGCTATGTACGTTTGTACCTAACATAGCGGGCATTTCAAATTAGAGGGAAAAGACTGCAAAATGTATACACAAGAAATATATTGGAAAATTAGCCATCTGTATGGAAAAAGAATTGTTAAATTTCACCTATCATACCCACAACTAAACTCCAGATGGATTAGTAGCTCAATGAGGGGCTCTTTCTCTCTTTCTCTCTCTTTCTCTCTAGAGAGCTCACATGCCCTCTGACAATTAAAAAAAAAACTTCAGATTATGGTTACAAATTATTATACCTCTATAAAATAAATGATGCAATTATTAGGAACATAAAAATACTCCTATATGCACAATGTAAATAGATATTAAAAACACATGGCAAAAAAAATTATTTCATTGAAAAATTGTAATTTATGTTGCATATGAAAAAAAAAAAAAAAAGAAGACAGAATGTACCCTAAACTGCTGCTGACTTCAGGATAAAGATCAAAGGGCATGACCCCTTTCTGTACTGTGTACTCTTACAACTAATAATAATAATACAAGAAATACTCTTGCGAGAAACCTCAAAGTTTGTTAAACTCTTGCAGGGCACTATAAAGACGCATGTTAATTTGTGATAATAAAATCTTTGAAACCACAGGTCAGCACGTGGCATAGTAGTTAAGGTGCTGGACTATGTGGCTGACTATGGTTGGAGTTCTGGACCTAGTGGCTTGACACTCATGCCAGGCATATGTGCATATGTGCCCAAAATCCTGAGAGGAGAATGGAGAAAAGAGGATCGCAGTGTGGTCATGGCCCCTGGGGGGTGAATTCTCGTTCTGCCTCTCTGTTTCTCTTTGTCTCTCTGGCAAACACACACACTCTATAGCAAAAATCTCTATCTCAACAAAAAATTAGAAACCACATAAATATTATAATGTTATATATTACACAAAATTCAGCAATGTGTAAAATGCAAATAAATAATTGTGGGGCCAGCTCTGTGGTCTGGTGATTTAAGCAGCTGGACCACACATTGCTGACTGCGGTTCGAATCCCACAATGGCCACCTAAAAACATGCTGGGTATATATGTGTGTATGCTTTATCTCAGATAAAAATAGCATATATGCACTTCAGTATGAGCCTCCCAAAAAACAAACAAACAAACAAACAAAAAAAAACCTGGAAGAAATATTTATATCAAAATGGTAAAAATAGGGCCAGCCCTGTAGCCTAGCAGTTAAAGGAGCCACATTCCACATGGCTCACCACAGTATGAATCCCAGCCCCAGTGATTTGAAAAACTCGCCAGGTACGTGCATGCATAGGCCCAACCCCAACAGAAAGAGAAATGGAGGAAAAGAAATTTGCATGATAATGCACCATTTAGGGTGCTTTCTCTCTTTCTCTAGAGAACACAGGTGCCCTCTGTAAATGAAACAAAATGGCAACAGTTAAACTGTTATACCATTTTCAGGTCATTTATATATATATATTTCTTTTTTGGGAGATTTTTGCTATAGAGGGTGTGCACTCACCAGAGACAGAGACAGAAAGTGAGAAATCACTCTTGGCGGGGATGGCCACACCACAATCCCTTCTCTTCCACTCTCCTCTTGGGGTCTTCAGCATGCACATGCATGTCCCCAGCAGTTTTTTTGTTTGTTTTTTAAAAGAATTATTCGAATTATTCTATTTATTTATTTGTTTGTTTATTTATTTTAATTTGGCCAAAGAGGGACAGAGCAAGAGAGAGAGAGGGAAAATGAGAAAGCAAGTCGCCAGGTCCGGGACTCAAACCACAGTTGATAATGTGGGTGTCCAGCGCTCTTCACCACCACGCCACCTGCTTGCCCCTCCAGCGTGTGTTTTAAGCTGCTGGGTCTGGGACCCAAACTGCAGTCCACTACATGGGAGTCCAGCGATGTAACCATTATGCCATCTGCTGGTCCCCATTTTTATATTCTTTATACGATTAATAGTTTTCTTAAAATACAACTGAATATACCATAAATTTACCTTGAGCCTATTTAAATATACAATTAAATCAATGAGTTTTAATATGTTTGAAGCCTTAGGCCACACTGTCGTAATGTGACTTCCAGGGGCTAGAAACTGAATAACAAGGGGTGACTGTAACCACTGCAAGCCTATGTAACTGACACCCATAGAACCTGGACACCAAGGCTTAGCAGGCATCCCTGAATCGCAGTACTTTGCATGTGTCGTCAAACATCATTGCTGGAAGAATGTAGAGTACCCCCAGGTGACACCACTGGGAGGGGACACTGGAAGCTCATACCTGGTTTTCCTGGATTCACCCCATAGACTTTTGCCGACTTGAACCTATATCCTCTTACTTTATAAACCCTAGCTATGAGTTTAACAGCTTTCTTGAGTTTTATGAGTCCTGGCAAACCATCACACCTAAGGGTGGTCTCAGGGTCCCCCAAATCTTACTCACTGAAATAAGAATCAATAAAATAAATCTGAATACACATAAAATAATTTAATTTTTTTTTTTTTTCTGTAGGGCGCATGCATTTGCTGGTGAGACAAAGCGGGGGTAGGGAAATGAGGTGAGTGAGAAAGCAGGCCCCATGGGGGATGGCCACACTGCAATCCCTTCTTCATCCTTTCTCACTTCTCCCAGGATTTTGGGCAGACACATCCGCATCCAGTGTGTTTTTCAAGCCTCTGGGTCCAGGACTTGAACCACACAGTCAGCCATGTGGGGTCCAGCTGCCTTAATTACCATCCTACCAACTGGTCCACACAGAATGTTTTGCAATGAGATTCATATAATGCCAATCCCAGAACATTTGACAACATTAAGAAAAAAAGTTTAAAATAAACTCTTTCAGGATATGTTGATGAACAAGCTTATCATGATACTATTACCTAAAAAAAACAAAGAGTCAATAAAATAAGAAGTCTGAATACACCTACATGGGCCCACAAGCACGTTCAAGCTTACAAAAGATCATTAGTATGTCAAAGTCAAGCTTACCAATGGGGACAAATGGTGCCTCTTTAGCTTTTCGGATGAGTTTGGATCCCTGATCTTCATCATATGAAGAGAGAGAAATGTCATTGTTGGTTGACATGGTGACTGAGGAATCCTCCAGAGAGTTTCTATCAGGTTCTGTAATTAAAAATATAGAGAATATTATTAAGTATCTGGATGTACTTGTAATATTCCTAGTTTTCATGAAAATCTGGTGTCCATAAACTTAAAAAAATATTTTAGAAATTAACTGTATATTGAGTCTATGGGGAGAGTTGTATATATTTATTCCTCCTATTGTCTGGTCATCTCTTCCATATAATCAATCCCTTTTAGCACTAACGTGTTAAAACACACACACTGGGACTGGCAGGTGGCGTGGTGGTTAATGGTGCTGGACTCCCATGTGGACAACTGTGGTTCAAGTCCCAGACCTGGTGGCTTGCTTTCTCACTTTTCCTTTCTCTCTTGCACTGTGACCCTCTTTAATCAAAAATAAATAAATAAATAAATAAATAAATAAATAAATAAATAAATAAATAAATAAATAAATAAAGCTAAATAAAATAATTCTTTAAAAAAAAAAATCCACCCACACACTCTAAAATTGTTTTTGTCCATTAAAACAGCACCTTTTATTTTTTTGGCTATTTTTGTCCTTAATCCATTTCAATGTGGCAATTATAAGTTACTCAAACAAAACTGTTCATTCCTATTGCCTCTTCAGTGTCATGTGGGAAATCCTACCGAGCAGTTTTGAGTGTAGTTAAGTGCAGTCTTTATTGCTTTTAGCTGTTGATTTTTCACTCCAGTGTGCCACTTGGCTCCAGTTCTCACCTGTGAATGGTTTCCAATCCATTACACTAATCTCTGCGATGGATGGTGGCTGTCTTGGGGCGGGGGGAGACCTAACAGTATCCCGAACAGTCAAAATCTCCGCCTAGCTCATTCTTTATTCCTTTGAAGGACAAAGCTTTTATTTTAAATAATGCTGCTAGAGAGGACTTTGTTTTTTCTTTTTTCAATTTTGCTAGAGTGTATGTGCTCACCAGGGAGAGGCAGAGATACAGAGACAAGGAAAGCAAGAAATCATACCCTGGGGGTATGGCCATGCCACCAGCCCCCCTCCCTCCTCCATTCTTCTCTTGGGATTTTGGGCATACACGCATGCACACATCCCTGGTATCGTTTTCAAGGCACAGGGCACAGGACTCGAACTGCAATTGGCCATGGGGGATGCAGCGCCTTAACCACCACACTGAACTGCCGGCCCAGAAATGCCTTCCTCTTAAACGTAATCTGTGTTCCATTAAATAGAATGCCGCTGTGTTTATTCTTATGTTAGAGTGTGTGTGTGCTTGCCAGAGACAGAGAGAGAGGCGGGAAGACAAAGCACCCCCCAATACCTTCTCCACCTCTCCCTGCTTTTGGGATCTGGGGCACACGAGCACATGCCCCTGGCGTGTTTCTCAAGCCATCAGGTCCAGGACTTGAACTCCGCAATGTGGGATACAACTTGCCTAAACCATCAGGCCACAAAGCCCCCCCTTCATTTTCATTTTTAAAGTTTCCTTTCTTTCCTCCTTCCATTAGCAAGAGAGACAGAGAAAGAGAACACTTGAGAGATCGTGTGTACTGCAACCGGGCCTTGAAAATGTGACCCGCCCCAAGCGTTCTGCCAGCCCAGTCTCTTTCCAGTGAGCATGTGTGTCCTATACCAAAAAAGTAAAGAAAAGACATCACAGACCCGGGGTGGCAGGGCAGGCGGGTAGCACACGCTCTACAGGCTAAAGTCAGTGGCTGACTATAGGTTCTGATCCCCTGAAACACGAGGGAACCTGAAATCTTGGCTGCCTGCAGGGGTAGGGGGACTGGGTGGAGGTGTGAGGCCCTGTTGAGGGTACTCCTCTCTCCCTCTTTTTCTCTCTCAAAAAGAAAATAAATCCTTTTTGGAAGATGGTATGATTCTAGTGTAGTATGCTTCCTTTATTTTTTTTGGAGAGATTTTTGTTACAGGGTGTGCGCTCGCCAGAGAGACAGAAAGCAAGAAATCACCCCCCAGGAGGGATGGCCGCACCACAATCCTTTCTCCTCCATTCTCCTCTCGGGAGAATGGGCACGCCCACACATGCGCCCCGTGTGAGTTTAAGCCACCGGGTCTGGGACTCGAACCATGGTCAACTACATGGCAGTTCAGCGACATAGCCATTATGCTAACTGCTGGTCCCCTAAGTAGGCTTCTAAACATTCTCTGAATATAAAATTTCAATAACTGTCTTTCTAATTACCACTCATGGGTTTCTCAAGTACTGGAATCATGACTGATAGCCATCCAAACTGAAATTGGCTAATTTTTTAAGTATCATGATCAATAGCCTCAAATGATAAAATCTGAGAGTAATAAATAAACCAGATGATCAATCCATGCCCACAGCCTTTTTATACAGGCGTGGAAAGGCTTCCGAGGGGTTATATGAACTTTTTAACACCAGGAAAACATCTCTGGCAGGGTAGGATTTGAACCAGTAGGAGTCTAACTTTCCTAATACACAGTACAGGGTTCTTCTGAGTTACAGTGTATTGCCAAACTATCAACCTTCTGATGCACATGCAGATAAGTCTGAAAATGTAAAAAAAAAACTAAGTTGTGCCAAAAGTTAAATGGGTTTTTCTTCCCCAGGGACTTAAGTCAGCTGACAACTTCAATTAGGAGTTGAAAAGATTGTTTCCTGGACGCCACTGCTAGAGTTCCCTTTATTATCATTTTCTCATCCACTCCCCGTGATTGACCCAGATCTCTCTCAAAGAGTTGAACAGACGCGGGAAGAAGCACCAATAACCAGATTTTTTCTTTTTTTTTTTGAGAGGTTATGTTTGCTATCGGGCACGTGTGCTCGCCAGAAAGACAAAGAGAGACAGAGAAATAGAAAGCGAGAAATCACCCCCAGGGGGGATGGCCATGCCGCAATCCCTTCTCCTCCATTCTCCTCTCAGGATCTTGGGCACACACACGCACACACACCCAGCGTGAGTTTAAGCCACCGGGTCTGGGACTCGAACCGCAATCGGCTACATAGGAGTTTAGCGACATAGCCATTATGCTAACTACTGGTCCCAATAACCGGATACTCAAAGACTATTGGGAAAACAGAAATTATTCTGTAAGCTGAATATACCACTGAACACTTTCGCAAACACATAGAAACCTGAAAGAGGTATGGGGGAAATGACCTGCCCGGCCTCAGGTGATGTAAGAGACTACAGAAGCCTGTCATTTTTTGTCACAAAAACGACTTTCTAATAAAACAATGGTTTCGAATTGTGTGCATGTCACCTGTCAACCTGCTTAAAACGGCTGCCTTGGCTGCCAAGGCCCGGCCCTGGAGATCCTGACTCAGAAGGGCTGGGGCAGGTCTCAGAGGATCTGTATTGTAAGCCCTCGGAGAGGTTCTGCTGTGCAAAATAAGAGAACCCCGGGATACAGGACCCCAAATATGCAGGCCGCGCCGGCTCGATCTATCAGAACGCTTCATGGAACCGCTCAGGCGGCAGATTCCTTTGGTGCGGATTACCCCGAAAAGGGAAATAGCTGCTTCTCAGCGATGCACGGAAACCAGCAAGGGCCTATAGTGCTGAATCATGTCGGCGGCTCCCACGCTCAGCTCGGGGTGCGCTTCGGAGTCCCTCACCGGCGTTTCCTGCTCAGTGGGCGATTTAAATTCCGCCATAGACGTTTCCACCCCGCCCGGGCCTTCGTGCCTCGGCAGGGGCCCCTGCTTGCCGCGGCAGGGTCGGCCCGGAGCGCGGAGCGGGAAGACACGTCAGGTCGGGGAGGAGCGAGCCCAGACTGAAGGTCCCCGTCTCTCCCCGTGACCTTGCCAGGACTCCAGGGCGGAGCGCTGTCCCCACCGTCCCCAGCTCCCGGCCTCCCGAGGCTCCGCGCTGCGGCTGCGCTGCGGACGCCTCGGTCCCTGACCCCGGCCCAGCAGCACGCCCTCGCTGGTCTCCCACCACTGCCGCTCGGCCTCCCCTTCTCAGCGACGACGCCCCCTCGCCGCTGGCTCCGCGGTCTCCCCCGACCCGGCTGTAGGCCTCGCCTCCGACCCCGGCCCTTCCTGTCCTCCAGGTCGGAGCCCGGCACCGCCCCCT